GTATTGTTTTTAGTACCTAAGTAGTGCTTACACACTGTTTTGATTTAATTATGGACAACGGCATGTCCATAATTAATTCCTTCCATTTATAAACTATGAATGTAGATCCTAGAATTACTTAATATTTCGACTTAACATACCAAAATGCCAAAGCATAATTTCTTAAAAGATACCTATAACACAAACGATGCTTGCTAAAGTGACGCAGCAAATCGAACGCACAGCGTTAAATAGAGCTCTGTGATTGGTTCATGTGTAACTCTGTGCGTCCACGCGAACTGAGAGACTTCATAGTAATGTTTGTGAATACGGGCGTAAGTAAGGTAATAACTTTAATAACTTGTGTCAAGAAGCAGTTTATTAAATCGAATTCATAATGTATTTATATTTATTTTATATTTATTCATATAGAATTCATATTTTATGTATTCATAATATACTTAACAATTGCGCAATATTTTTGTGTCATTTATTTTAACACAGTAAAGATTATAAATTATGATTAGCAAAAATAAAACATTCAGAAACACCCATTAAGGGTGTTCAACATTCTATTTATTGTGATAGTACGGGGGAACCCTATTTTTATTTGATCACCCTCCTTATTTACATTAAAAACTTGTAAAAACCGCCATCTATTATTTATAACAATTGGCACCTACTAACCAGTCAGGCTGTATGTAACTATTCTACTCACTACTAGATGTCGCTAAATTTCGACCTCCTTATTTGCATTTAAAACTAGCAAAAAGCGCCATCTATTATTTCTAAAAGTTAACACTTACTAAGCAGTCAGGCTGTTTGTAACTTTTCTACTCACCACTAGATGTCGCTAAACTCCGACTTCCTTATTTGCATTTAAAACTTTCAAAAAGCGCCATCTATTATTTCTAAATGTTAACACCTACTAGTTAGGTTGTAAGTAACTATTCTACTCACCACTAGATGTCGCTATCTCGCAACCTCCTTATTTGTATTTAAAACTTGTAAAAAACGCCATCTATTATTTCTAAAAGTTAACACTTACTAAGCAGTCAGGCTATTTGTAACTATTCTACTAACCTCTAGATGTCGCTAAAACTGTTATGAAAAATGTTCAACTACTCATCAATAGATGTCACTACTCAACAAAATTCAGAACTCAGACAATGCTTTGACCACAGACAAAACCTTAATGTGTTGCCATATCAATTAATACGTCAGGGAGTGGCTCGCTCAAAGTTTCAGATTTTTTTGGTTAGGGGCGCCTCCATCGCGCTCTCTTATACACATTTTGGCTCGACCGGCCTTCGCCTCGCTTCGCAGGGTTCGCGGTGAGGAGTGGACTGTGGATTCAGGCAATGAATAGTGTTGTGTGTGTTAAGTGTAGTGTTTTGTTTATAAATTAAAACTCATTTAATTTCTTATTATTTATCTTCTAAGTTAGAGCTGATAAGAAGTTTGGGGTAAGTTCTCATTTCACTTCATTAATGTCATAACTTTACATCGTGCGAATCTTTCAAGCCAGATGAACACAAACGTGATGAGTGTTCAAGTGAAATTATCTATCTTAAACTTGCTGACTTGGAAACTATTTCAGAAATCACTGTAATTATACGTATTCTTGATAAACTCCTAAAAGAAACGTGTTTTCTTCGATCTGATTGAACATGTTTATTATCAGTTCTGTGTAAACACAGGTAAACGTAGCATTTTGAAGCCATGATTTGAGGCATCAGCTGACTTTTCATATTGACATAGTTTGGTTTTAGAACATGATACTATTTTTTTAGAGCAATCTAGGTAAAAATAAACTTTATTTATACATCCACCATTCTCAGTTCAAGAGCAATCTTATTGAAAAAATGTGATGCTTACTGCAAAAGCTTAACTAAATTGTCTGCACTTCTTAACCAATGGTTCTAACACTTAACTCTAGGGCAGTGTTTACCTAGGTACTCATTAGTAAGTAAAACTTTTTATAATTACAGTAAAATCTATTTCAATAGTACAGGCACTTAGATGTGGTTTTACTTTTAAAAATTTAATAAAATCCATGTATTTAGCCCCTGACTCATGATGGTGATATCATAGGCCAAGCTGCGGTCAAAAGATACCAGGACCTCTAGCTCTTATCTACAAGGCAAGGATTACTATTTTTTCGTTAGAATTTTAGTTTTTATATTATTCGATTCCACTTAATTTTAGTCTTATTTTTCCTAATTAATGATTAGATTAAAAAAAATATGGTCATGCATGAGTAAGCGGAGTCAATAGAAAAAATAATAAGTATGTGTAATTAATTTACATATAGGATAGATAATATGCATGATAGATGCATGCAGTCCTATGACTTTATTTTTATTTTGTTTTAGGAATATTCCTACAAAATAAAAATAAAGTCATAGGACTGCATGCATCTGATTTATGAATTATGAACTATATTTTATTTGAGTGCTTTATTTGTAGCTTATAGAAACCTAGCTTTTTTTATAATAATTATTTTATTGTTGCTTTGGGATTTAATGTTATTATTAATATTTTTATATTTTTGGACAATGTTATGGGTTATAATATTATAATGTCTTTACATATTCAATGGTAAGTAGGTACCATTGATTCCTATTTTTTAAAAAGAAAAAACACTTTACTTTGGTCTTTTTTTTTTATTATTAAAGGTAAGTATACTATCACTTCCATACATGTAGTTCCTATGCCAGTGTCATATAAAGGATGGTGTTATGCAGCAATAGCGTAACTGTAAGCTATTATTGTATCCATGATTCATTCGAGGTCGACGACACCACCTGAAATAAACGATTCCGAGGAGAATTTATTATTTGCCATGTGTTGGCACAAATGTATAAATGTCAGTGCACGAAAATGGGTCGCACCTAGCAATACCGTAGCTAATCATACTGTATTCGTTTTTAAAACAATGTAGATAGGTACCAACTTAGGTACTACTTACTTTTGTAATTTTTTTTAATTTCTCATAAGTTCTAACAGTATTATTTTTTATCTTTTCCTATGATAAAGTTTACTTAGAATTTTTTTTTAAAAGGAATTCTTAACTTATTTTCTGACTTTTCTCGCTGATCGAGGTCCGCTTTCCGTAAAATCCTCCCGCTTTTCTATCTCATACCTACATTATATTATCTATGGGGCTATCGCCTATAACACGCGCCTGTCTACTAGGCGAGTTTTATAAAACCTTGCTCTATACCTAGTAGGTAGGTAATCATTGCGTCGCCGCGTCGTAAGTAATATTAATTAATTTATTACATTCATCCTACTTTACCTGTTTGTTTAATTACACCATATTATTGACTTCCACAAATTTTACCTGCACACTTCCTGCACAGTAAATAGGTATGAGTTTAGAATTAATATGAGTGTGAAGTCATGGCATAATTTGTAATTCAACAGTTATGTAGGTAGGGTAAGTACGTTGGTTCTCGTCCAATTAGCGGAGTTGCCAGCTTNACCATTGCTGCTGTTATTTAACAATTTTGGAATAAAATATTAACAAACATTTCTTGTGAAATGTGGCGCGGACTAAGAGTTGACATATTTTTGTGGAATGACCCCTTTAGAGATTTAGTTCGCGCCACGTTAAATGAAAAATAAACATCAAATTTTTGGATAACCTAGTAATTTATAGCCTTAAAAATGATTATTTGCACGGACTGTAGATTTTGTTTGGTATAATATGGTATTATACAATGAAACATTGTTTCATTGTGTCCATCATGCAACTGTTTCATTGTTGACTACATAGGGTTTATTTTAATAACCCAAAAAAAATCACTAATTTGTAACACTTTTAACTTATAATTTAGTTCCACTTAGTCTATGATATATGTGTAATGCTAGGTAATCATGAAAAATATAAATTTGCCAACCATATTTTTACCAAAAATCTTTTAATAACGACAAAAATATTTACATTTTGGAAAAAAAAAAATGCTCCACAGACACGTCTTCTCACACGTGGCGCGCCGACACGAAGGTGTGGCGGCGCGGGGTATTGTCGAAAGTATCCTTACGCGATATAGTGCACGATATGGCAACGCAGCATTTAAGAAATATTGCAGTGTTTTATTGTGTACAATTGTTTCATTGTTGAACATCTGACCCTATTTTATATTTATTCATATAGAATTCATATTTTATGTATTCATAATTATACTTAACAATTGCGCAATATTTTTGTGTCATTTATTTTAACACAGTAAAGATTATATTATTTTATGATTAGAAAAAATAAAACATTCACAAACACCCATTAAGGGTGTTCAATATTCTATTTATTGTGATAGTACGGGGAACCCTATTTTTATTTGAACTTGTAAAAAACGCCATCTATTATTTATAACAATTGGCACCTACTAACCAGTCAGGCTGTATGTAACTATTCTACTCCCTACTAGATGTCGCTAAATTTCGACCTTATTTGCATTTAAAATTAGCAAAAAGCGCCATCTATTATTTCTAAAAGTTAACACTTACTAAGCAGTCAGGCTGTTTGTAACTATTCTATTCACCACTAGATGTCGCTAAACTTCGACTTCCTTATTTGCATTTAAAACTTTCAAAAAGCGCCATCTATTATTTCTAAATGTTAACATCTACTAAACAGTTAGGTTGTAAGTAACTATTCTACTCACCACTAGATGTCGCTATCTTGCAACCTCCTTATTTGCATTTAAAACTTGTAAAAAACGCCATCTATTATTTATAAAAGTTAACACTTACTAAGCAGTCAGGCTATTTGTAACTATTCTACTAACCTCTAGATGTCGCTAAAACTGTTATGAAAAATGTTCAACTACTCATCAATAGATGTCACTACTCAACAAAATTCAGAACTCAGACAATGCTTTGACCACAGACAAAACTTAATGTGTTGCCATATCAATTAATACGTCAGGGAGTGGCTCGCTCAAAGTTTCAGATTTTTTTGGTTAGGGGCGCTTCCATCGCGCTCTCTTATACACATTTTGGCTCGACCGGCCTTCGCCTCGCTTCGCAGCGCAGGGTTCGTGGTGAGGAGTGGACTGTGGATTCAGGGAATGAATAGTGTTGTGTGTGTTAAGTGTAGTGTTTTGTTTATAAATTAAAACTCATTTAATTTCTTATTATTTATCTTCTAAGTTAGAGCTGATAAGAAGTTTGGGGTAAGTTCTCATTTCACTTCATTAATGTCATAACTTTACATCGTGCGAATCTTTCAAGCCAGATGAACACAAATGTGATGAGTGTTCAAGTGAAATTATCTATCTTATAACTTGCTAACTTGGAAACTATTTCAGAAATCACTGTAATTATACGTATTCTTGATAAACTCCTAAAAGAAACGTGTTTCCTTCGATCTGATTGAACATGTTTATTATCAGTTCTGTGTAAACACAGGTAAACGTAGCATTTTGAAGCCATGATTTGAGGCATCAGCTGACTTTTCATATTGACATAGTTTGGTTTTAGAACATGATAAAATACAATTTTTTTAGAGCAATCTAGGTAAAAATAAACTTTATTTATCAGTTCAAGAGCAATCTTATTGAAAAAATTAGATGCTTACTGCAAAAGCTTAACTAAATTGCCTGCACTTCTTATCCAATGGTTCTAACACTTAACCCTGGGGCAGTGTTTACCTAGGTACTCATTAGTAAGTAAAACTTTTTATAATTACAGTAAAATCTATTTCATTATTACAGGCACTTAGACATTGTTTTACTTTTAAAAATTTAATAAAATCCATGTATTTAGCCCCTGACTCATGATGGTGATATCATAGGCCAAGCTGCGGTCAAAAGATACCAGGACCTCTAGCTCTTATCTACAAGGCAAGGATTACTATTTTTTCGTTAGAATTTTAGTTTTTACATTATTCGATTCCACTTAATTTTAGTCTTATTTTTCCTAATTAATGATTAGATTAAAAAAATTATGGTCATGCATGAGTAAGCGGAGTCAATAGAAAAAATAATAAGTATGTGTAATTAATTTACATATAGGATAGATGTATGCATGATAGATGCATGCAGTCCTATGACTTTATTTTTATTTTGTAGGAATATTCCTACAAAATAAATTAAAGTCATAGGACTGCATGCATCTGATTTATGAATTATGAACTATATTTGATTTGTAGCTTATAGAAACCTAGCTTTTTTTATAATAATTATTTTATTGTTGCTTTGGGATTTAATGTTATTAATATTTTTATATTTTTGGACAATGTTATGGGTTATAATATTAGGTATAATGTCTTTACATATTCAATGGTAAGTAAGTAGGTACCATTGATTCCTATTTTTTAAAAAGAAAAAAAACTTTACTTTGGTCTTTTTTATAATTATATTTATATATAGCTAGCATAGGTGTACTATCATGCAATCTGACTTAACAGGTAAAGGTAAGTAAATACTATCACTTCCATACATGTAGTTCCTATGCCAGTGTCATATAAAGGATGGTGTTATGCAGCAATAGCGTAACTGTAAGCTATTATTGTATCCATGATTCATTCGAGGTCGACGACACCACCTGAAATAAACGATTCCGAGGAGAATTTATTATTTGCCATGTGTTGGCACAAATGTATAAATGTCAGTGCACGAAAATGGGTCACACCTAGCAATACTGTTGCTAATCATATTGTATTCGTTTTTAAAACAATGTAGATAGGTACCAACTTACTAGGTACTTACTTTTGTATTTTTTTTTAATTTCTCATAAGTTCTAACAGTATTATTTTTTATCTTTTCCTATGATAAAGTTTACTTAGAATTTTTTTTAAAGGTATTTTTTCGTAACCTCCAGTCTTTTTTTCTTTTTTCTCCATATAAGGTAAAATTGCCTTTAAAGACCCTATTTAAGGAATTCTAAACTTATTTTCTGACTTTTCTCGCTGATCGAGGTCCGCTTTCCTTATAATCTCCCGCTTTTCTATCTTATACCTACTCAAGTAATTAAGTAGGTAGGTATTATATTTATGGGGCTATCGCCTATAACACGCGCTTGTCTACTAGGCGAGTTTTATAAAACGTTGCTCTACCTAGTAGGTAGGTAATCATTGCGTCGTAAGTAATATTAATTTATTACATTCATCCTACTTTACCTGTTTGTTTAATTACACCATATTATTGACTTCCACAAATTTTACCTGCACACTTCCTGCACAGTAAATAGGTAGTTAATATGAGTGTGAAGTCATGGCATAATTTGTAATTCAACAGTTATGTAGGTACCTACTTATGTGCGTATTTCTTTAGACCTAGTCCTACTATCAAACACAGAAGTAAAATCTAGACACGCGGTAGCGTGTCCAGCCAAGTTCAAGTAACAGAACTGGCGAAGCACCGACCGTGTGTAATATTACACGATACTTAAAACTTGACCTAGGTACCTAATTATGTTATGTCGAATAAACCTAATAAATTATTTTTGCTTAAATAAAACCACGATTCCCAAAAAGGTACACTCTCTTTTCGAAGTCCTTATCTTTTGATATGAACCTCGAAGTAACCTAAGTTACAAAAATTGCCCCACCGAGATCCCGAGCCATGATGAAATGAAAAGGGTCCATCGATTGGGCGACAGACCACGAGATTAGGGTTACCATCCTTTGGGACTACGAATTTTTGGAATGGAAAAAAAAACAGATCGTGATCATCGTGCTTCGGTTTTGATTGTCGAAACTCTTCCGAATGTCTTCCTTTTTTGGCGGGCTCTCATATTTCCACATGGCAACCCTACACCAGTCTCGATCGGCTTGTGCGTCTGGCTTTCGTCTCGATTCTCGAAAGCAGCTTGACCCACTTTTTTCATTTACATATTTAGGACTCCTTGCTTAATAATTACATTGGAGCCTTTCAATGCCTTACAAAGTTGCAACTTGCAACACGTTTACTCAATTTGTTGCTTGAAAAGGTTTCAAATAAATTACCTGTATTGATTGGAAATGTTCAATGAAGGGCACATGATCTTAATGCTTTTCATTTCATCATAGTAGGTCGAAGAACTTTATTTTCTCATCCATGACGTCTTCAGGGATTAAGTTATTTTTTGTACCTACCTACTACTTAATAAAAACAGATCACACACAATCATGTAGCCAAGGTCCACAGCGATAGAAGAAAACTAAATAAAAAGAAGTGAACTAAAGTAGTTAACAATAGGAACCGCAGAAAGTGATAGCTCAAGTGTCATTTTACTGATTCAAATTAAAAACTAAATGGGTGTACTGCTGTCTAAAGGACATTGATACTGTTTTTTGCTGACAAGAGTGTTGAGTAACGGCGTCACTTTTTGTTGACTTACTTTTTGCATCAGATTGCAGTAACTCAGCGAAAGTGTACTCATGCGTCATTCGATTGTGATCGATTGGTCTATTCAATATTACAGCAATTTATTACAGAAAATTTTAATTGATATCGAATACGAAAACTGCTGGACGAAAAAAATGTTCGATATTTGAAAAAAGTAACAAAAAGTTGCTAACGATGAACAAACTCGCCGTCGATTGATAAAAAGCTCGTTTTTTGTTTTTGTTTTCGGCGCCAAAGTGCGATGGCCGCAATGCCTGATGGAAACTGTTCAAAGGGAACCGTTCCGAACCTGATTCACAATGTGTGTCATCATCTGCCAGTATTGACGTTTGATCAACGATCAGTTGATGTTCTGTTAACGTTAATCTGTGTAGATTATTTTTAAGATGTATTTTTAGATGTTCCTCTTATTTATTACCCAAAACCTGACCTTTTGTAGGTCTGAAGTGTAAATAATATTTGGGAAAAATAGCGTTACTTTTACTTTTATAGTGATTGTATTTTCTAACCTAACTCAAACATCAACGGCTGTGTAAACAAGAAAAATAAGCAAACCATTTGTAACGAAGTACCTACTTGGAAGGTACCACCTCCCAACCTAAATAATCTCCCAACATAAACAAAAAATTCTCACATAAGGGAAAAAGGTGATTGCGCAGCCCACCGTCCACACATTTGTTAGATAGGCATCGCCTATTTTTCCTTCAATACGAAAATAGTCTACTAAACTCCATTGAACGTATTGGTCGACCCCGGTGTATTTAACTAACCAGTAAAATATTTTTGTTATCAAGGGTTTGTTTATTCTTTAGGTGCTGAATCTGAATCTAGGTATTTTGGTAGGTATCTGTCTAAAACTAAACCAAAAGTTTGTCGCATTAATTCATGTTAATCAATTTATTTGGAAAAATAATTAAGATAAAACAAAAGACGTTAAACACATGGGTACCTACGTCACGCATTCACTGTAATGTTCCTAAAGTATTGCACGGTTAAGGGACATGTATGTTAACAGATGCCTTTATCCCATAAATCGAGCCCACTTACATTCAAAAATAATAAATTGTCCCATTTGTCCAATGTACCACATCTACCATACACAATTGCCTGATGCAACAACCAGCAGATGACCCTAATTCATAATGGATCGGCGGACACATCTAGGCCCGCATTAATCACTATTGGCCGCAACGGTCGGCGACAATATGAAGTGGGATTGGTCGGGTCGATTACTGGTCATTAATTGGGACGAGCCCAATTTTCAGTACGAGATAATGAAGTTGTTTACGCCTTTTCCCTATCACGACGACTAATCGGAAAAAAATCGGGATTCCGATTCTTCTTTCGTTGATTTTACAGATATATCGGAACAGACAAATTATCTCTAGCACCGATTGGTATTCCACACACAGTCATTTCCCTTTCTTTCGTGGCTTCATCATAGCATTTCTTTTAAAGTAGGTACACATTACTTCCATTTAACCTTCAACCTACTGTCCTTCAATTAGTATCTCCTTAGGACAAACAACGAAAACACCATTATTCATCATTAGTAGACCAGACAAGTTATCATAACTGTATTTGGAGAATGTGTATTTTCTCACATTAACTTATCTTCAACGAGTGACAATGAGTGCAATGAACCTTGTAAGGGTTCCGGATAAGCCGACTGCGCTTGCAACTATCATAGATTATAACTATTCAAAACAGAGCAGACATAGAGTCAACAAATTTTTCATAGAATGAAATGCCTACTTGCAGTCGTAATATTCGATTCTTTGGGACATATTTTTCTCCACATTTTGAACCGTATCTACTAATTAGTTTTCGCGGCTATTAATCCT